AGGAAGGAAGGAAGGAAGGAAGGAAGGAAGGAAGGAAGGAAGGAAGGAAGGAAGGAACTGTGTAGCTATGAAGTGTCTCCTGGAGTTATGGGTGCTCCTTTAATCTCTTTTACTCATTACTGGAGATTTTCAAGCGAAATTTGGATAGCTATTTAACTGAAACCTGTCTGGAGTCATCTGAAGTTAGGGGGTCCCTAAATAAATAAGTCTGGGATGGTATGATCATTCCTGTCCTGGCCCAGGGGTTAGGTTAGTCCTAAGGCCCTACCAACTCTATGATTCTATGATTACCTGGCACTATCAAGATTTCCCTCTTGATTCTCTCTTATAGATGAGCTCCTTCAAGAACAGCGAACTGATATGGACCAGTTTACTTCTTCCATCTCTGAATCCCAGGTGGATGTACACGTGAGCTCCGAAGAAAGTGAAGAGTCTCCTCTCTTTGATGGTAAACCTTTCCGTCCATTCCAGGTGAAAACTTTCCCAGCTTCTTCAAAAAGTGAAGGTATGTGAAAATTATAGTGCAGTGCTGTATCTGGCCTGAACCAGTCAAAGCCCAGTATAACAAACTTGGTCTCAGCTTTGTTCTGGACAAGCCTTTTGCCAGAGCTTTTCAGTGTAATTCGAAATGAAAGACCACTTGGTGATGAGATGTTTGAGTTTAGCATTCTGGCTTGATTCACGCAAGTGGCCATTCTTGTATTATTGTTATTTATGCTAAGTCTAGCTTGCCTGTGAATTACTTCCTGTCTTCACACCCTAAAACTCAGGGTGAGAACTCAGTTTTGTCTGCTGATAGTGCTACAAGCTTATTAGAAATATCTTTTCCTTGTTTTCTGGGGTTCCTGTGTTGGGATGGCAGGAAAAAAGTCTCAGTCTGAGTTTAATCTCTAATGTAAATGTTGTCCAGAATCTAAATCAGAAATCGCACACAAGCCTTTTTCTTTTCTCCCCTCTTAATCTCCTTTCTCTCTGCTATTTCTTTTGTTTTGGTTCTCGTTTCTCCCTTCTGCTATAGATTCTCAGCCGGATTTGTACCATCCAGAGAAAAAAGGTTGGTTCTACCCTGATCCCTTTTAAATGCCTTCTATCATACCCTTCTCCTTTTTAGTGTATTTTAATCCCTTTTAATTTTAGTTTCATAAGATCAGCTTCACCTCCTTCCCTCCCTCTGTCCCTCCCTCCTGCTTATATGGTCAAGGTTGCGTTAGCTATCTTTTATGCAGTATCAGTCAATGTGGTGGCCTCTGAGCTGTTAGTGATCACGCATTATGACCATGGTAGATGTCATTAGGCTGATGCTGTATAAGTAATAAATATAAGTAGAAAATGATTAGAGCCTACTGAAGTCTTGGAACAGCAATTTGGGATCACGTTATAGATGCCAGCTGAATTGGTTTAGAGGAGATATATGCAGCTTGGCTTGGAGTAACCTGGCATGCTCTAGATCATGGCTGGCTGGGGAATTCTGGGAGTTGAAGTCCATTCATCTTAATGTTGCTAAGGTTGAGAAACACTGCTCTAGATATAAGCCCCATTTGATATAATAAGTGAAAAGGGATTATGAAGATCCCAGTCCAAAACACTTGAGTCATGAGATTTTTCTTTTTAATCTCCAGTTTGGCAGTTCCAAGATTAAAATGTTGATGTTATTACAGCAGCATTTTCCCCCTCATCTGTTCCATGTGATAAATTTCATTAGAATGAAAGTTTTTATAGGGAGGATTTAAACTTAAATTGGGCCGATATCTAGAAATTCTTCTAGAGGAAAAATTTCTGTAAGCCTGAACATAATGATTCTCTCTAGAACCACATAGATCAATGTTTCTCAACCTTGGCAACTTTAAGATGCTGGCTGGGGAATTCTGGGAATTGAAGTACACCTCTTAAAGTTGCCGAGGTTGAGAAACACTGATATAGATCTCTATAAAGTAACTTGGAATGGGTATTGGCCAATGTAATGAGACGGACATTATAAGACGAATGGTGCTGGGCTTGTCAGAGTAAGATTTCACCCGTCAGAGGTCATGATTAATGTTCTACCATTAGCTAGCTCTTCGGTGTTATTTGTCAAAATGCTTGTAGATGAAAACACAGCCTATTGAGGAATCCCTGGAATTAGAGACTCATGTGTCAGACTTCCCCAACCCATTGTTCTGATATAGATTACACCTGCTATAATTCCCAACTAGGGGATGAATTGTAGTTAGTACACCTATAGGTAGGAAAAAGCTGGCCCACAGTCTCAGATTCTTATGACGGCGCTCTAAGTGGCAATGTTTTCTTAGCTCCTCTTGTTCTTGATTTTCCTGGATTCTGTTGGAGTCCTACATCAGGTGGATGTTTTAGTAACCAAAGGTACAACGTAGCTATGGAGAAATTGAATCTTCTGAACATGATTTGTGTTACCAGTCAGAAATTATTGAGCTGACTTTCTTGGAGAACCTGGCAAAAGTTGTTATATAGTTGTTTTGATTCTAACAGCTGCTTATGTAAAATTTGTAAATCGTTACTTGTAGCTGAGGATGATTCAGGAAACAAAGATCACAGGACAGCCTAGCTTTCTCCTGAGAATTCTGTAAGATCAAAAAGTAATGTCAGTTGGCTCATTATTTGCTTCTGGATTAATTAGAAAATACCAAATTATGAAGATGAATGCAGTGTTCTTTCCCTCTGAAACTTGTCTATTTCTCTTTTGAAAACTGGGAGAAATTCCATCCAGCTGGCTGATAACAACGAGGATATTTTGCAGTTCTCTTTAGCTAAATTGATAGAGCTGGGACATCTTTTTTCTTGCTTTCTTGCCCTGATTTCTTTGTAGCTTACCACTGTTTCTTTCTTGGCATATATGGTTTCTAAGAGCTCTCCCTCTGAGCCCCAGTCCAATTAGGGCTGTTAAACTGGTCTAATGATACCCATCTAGACCCTTTGCAACAGCCAGATAAAGCATAAAGCTGAATGATTATTAGATGATGGTCTAGACTTTTTTTAGAAGCTGGGATTCATTTAATTTTGGGGAAAAAAAGTGGTCTACTGTGCAGCCTTGGAAAGCAACTGGGCAATTCCAAACATGTTTGGAATCTGAAGTAGTCTTTCTTGAGAGATTTTAAAGGAAGAAGCAATAAAAGCAGATGTCCTTGAGATTGCTTTGGCACTTTCAAGTAATTAAAAAAAATGGAGGAGGGGGATGTTTTCCCACAAAAGTACTGGATCAGTCCTTCAAAGTCAGCATATGTCTATTATATGTTGCTTGCTTGATGTCTTTGAGTCAGTGTTGACTCCTGGCAATCTCCTGGACACACACACACACACCCTACATACATACGTACACACAAAGATACAGATATACACACCCTCTGTACTGTATTAGATGGAACAGGATTTTGATATTCAGGACTGACGTGAAAATCTTGGGTGATTTGAAGATTGCACCAACCTTTCGGTTCTTAATCTTGAACTAATTATGAAGGTTGGGTTCCTCCATAATAACGTACAAGGCTTCAGTTGGACACAGTTGACTGATATTTGGAACTTTATTCTCTCCTCCCATGAAACTGATTCTGGACTTGATTCAGGCATGGAACCAAAGCAAATTAAGCTTCCCCAACAGGCAACGTTTTTAGAATGGCTTCCAGGCTTGTTCCTCAGATAGTTGCTGATATGTAGGGTGCCTAAGGGATGGTGCCAATACTGCTGTGAATACAGCAGAGTGCGACACTGAAAGGTTGTATCCTGGTTCCACAAGGGAGTTATACTTAGGGGAGAAGGTACAGCTTCTACAGAAAACCAGTTTGGACTGTTACTAGTTAGTAAGAAACTACATGTATCCTTGAACCTTCTGGGTAGTCTTGTCATTTTCATCATGCAAACTGCTCAACAATCCACTCACCATTGTCCATTGTGTGTTTCTCTAGCATCATATTTGGTATCCTTGTAACATGTACATTAAAAAAAAAAGAAATGGCACTTCATATATCAATCAAAGGACTGTGCGCACTCTGACAAATGATTTTTACTTCTGCTAGATCTCATATTTATTTATTGCACACGTAATTTCTTTCTGTGTAGGCTCTGGCCTGGCTGACCTTGATGGGCTGATTGGAGCAGAAGAGAAAGTAATTAACAGCAAGAACAAACTGGATGAGAATGTGGTATGCCCTTTGCACTGAATTTGCATAGAAAAACTTGTGCCTGAAATGCCAGCTTTGTGGCTTGACCCTGTGCCTTTCCGTGCTTGCTTTGATGGTCACTATATTTACTACTCGTATTATTGTGCCAGTGCGTAGCGGCCTTGCAATCTGTAAGTACTACATGCCTCTAATATGTGTCAGTGACGGACAAGCGTGCAAAGCTGGTAAAGCCATTGTCTTCATTATGGCAAGTCATATCACTATGAATAGCAGTACAGACCCTTTGGTGCTCTGACAAAATGTCTCAACCACTGATTGCAGTTTTTGGACAACTGCAATAAGAGAAATAGGCATTCCATAACTGTATGATGATTGCATTCAGCCATCACCCTACATCTTAATAAAGTCTTTGGCTCTGGGTTAGTGTGTTTAGCACAATGTGCAAACCAGCTGTGTATGTTTGTACACGCCATCTGGCTCTTTGAAAGCAGGCAATGCCTTCTTCAGAGCCATGTTGCTATAATAGTCTAAGAACCAAAGCCAGGTTTATCCAATTAAATTTGTTGGCTTGCCTGATAATGCTTCAGGAGCAACGTAGAAAGATCTACATTATATTGCAAATGTTTTCCATCACATATCATATTAGGAAATGGGGTCAGGTGAACTTGGTGGAGAAGTCAAAGATACAGGTAGTCCTCGACTTACAACAAGAGTTGGGACCAGAACTTCCATTGCTAAGCAATGTGGTTGTTAAGTGAATCGTGCCTGATTTTATGACCTTTTTGCCGTGGCCATTAAGTGAATCACATGGTTGTTAGGCAAATCTGGCTTCCCCCATTGACTTTGCTTGTCAGAAGCCTCCTGGGAAGGTCACAAATAGTGGTCACATGATCCCAGGATGCTGCAGCTGTCATAAATACATGCCGGTTGACAAGCACCTGAATTTTGATAATGTGACTGTGGGGCACTGCAACAGTCATAAGTGCGAGGAGCAGCCGTAAGTCACTTTTTCAGCACCAGTGTAACTTCAGAAGGTTGTTAAACGAATAGTCATAAGTTAAGATCAGTAGTATAAGTGTATACCGATTTTCAATGGGAGGTAGCCCCCCCCGCGGAAAAGCATGGGCCGGAAGTGACGTCATGGCCACGCCCCTCCCAGAATCCCTTGCGCGGGCGTAACCAGAAGTGACGTCATGGTCCCTCCTCCAGGCATGCCTTGCGCGCCGTCCAGAAGTGGCCCTCTTCCCGTCATGCCTCACGTGGGCGTAACCGGAAGTGCCGCCATTTCCCCGTCCTCCCGGCATGCCTTGCGCCGTCTTGGCGGGAAGTGACGTAACCATCCGTCTGCCTGCTTCCCCCGCGCGTGCTGCGCCGGAAGCGTCCGTCCTCCCAGCATGCCTCGCGCGGTCTGCGCCGGAAGCGGCCGTCCTCCCGGCATGCGCCGCGCCGTCTTGGCGGGAAGTGACGTAACCACCCGGCTGCCTGCTTCCCCCGCGCGTGCTGCGCCGGAAGCGTCCGTCCTCCCAGCATGCCTCG